ATTATGGTCTTCAGTGATTCAAATTACTCCAGATGCTAACTCTAATCATATCAACAAATATTTATTCTTAGTCATATAAGATTTCATATACAGATTCTAGGAAGTAGGATGTAGAAATAATTTGGGGGAAAATTTTCACTTTCCCACTGGCCCAAAAAGATTCTTTCTTACGTAATTTTATTAAATGTTATATTGTTGCAGCAGTCATAACTAGTAAAACTGAATACAATTCAAAGCAGTAGATCTTAATTTTTTTTGAAAGGTCAGTAGTAAAGTTTCAGTTGAATTAAAAGTGAGGATTTAAAAGATTCAGTTTAAATTAAGCTATTTAAAATTTTTGTTAATTGTAAATTTTATCTGCATTTTAAAATAAAAAATTGATATTATTTATTAACATTAAACACATATTCATTTCTTCAGAATACAGGTTATTGGTAGAATAATCTGATTTTTCTCTGGAATATCACTAATTTTCCTACTTCATTATGCATTTTCCCTAACAATTCTTTTCTTTACATTTTTATTCTGATTGTCTAAATATTCCTTAAGAATACATTATAATATGTATGTATATGTAAACATTTCTTTTTTTTCCCTTCTTATATGTGAATGTGTGCACACTTTTGTGTGTATGTGTGTGTGTGGTGTTTACTTGGTGGTTTGTATCTGTGGATTCCATCTATGGATTCAACCAACCTCATATTGAAAATATTTGGGGAAAAAATGTGTCTGTACTTCACATGTACTGATATTTTTTGTTATACCCTAAAAATATTGTTCAATAGCTGTCTACATAATGTTTACATTGTTTTAGGTATTAATGAGTAATCTACAGATGACTTAATGTATGTGGGGCAATGTGTGTAGGTTTTATGCAAATACTATGTCATTTTATATAAGGGTCTTGAGCTTATTTAGACTTTGGTAACTAAGCTGACAGTAGTCCTAGGATAAGTCACACACAGATACAGAGGAATGACTATGTATATTTTGTTGAAAATATACACACATACACATCAGTATTTCTGTATATATGTGTGTGTATGTGTGTATATATGTGTATACATTTTTTTCTGTGCATATATATAAATATATACACAAACACATGTCTAGAAATACTGATACTCAGCATTGCACTCTGGTTTGGTTGTATTCATTATTGGAATAAACATAGTTTTGATATTATTGGTAAATAGTCATTGCCCAGGGCCTTGATAGCATCACACCTACCACCTTCTTGTTTCTTCTAGATCTCTGCATAAGCCAACTACTAAAGGGTTAACAACTGGCAAATTATGGGGCCTGCACTCTGTGACCATTATCTCATCTGGTTGGTGAAGACATATATATGCTGTTTTTATGAGTATATGTATTTCAAAACATGTATTTTTTGAATGTTTACGATTTTTTCAGTTATAACTTTTAATGATAGAAAGGAAGTACATTTTGTTATATGAATTAGAAATGCCTTTGTTTGACCTGTACACTATCTAATAGTTGTTTTAGTCAATATCTTTTTCTTTTCACTGTACTTGAAGCATTTCTTTTTCCAAGAAGGATTCTCCTCATAGCATAAGGAGACAGTGTTTCTTTCACAGTATCATTTTTAAATACTACATTCCTTTAAAGTGATTGGATAGAATTTTTAAAGTTTTATTTTGTTAAAAACTTCCAGTGTACTTAACATATACAAGATACACAATTTGAATAGCATAGCTGGGCAATTGTGATTATGTAATTCATATATTTTCAGTCTTTAATACAACAAACTTTTAGATTCTAGGAACTATACAAGTGAAATGGAGTGATAATATAGAAACTTATATCTGAACAACAAAAATTAGTAAAGATCCCCTAATGTTTGTGCATTAGGAAAATGTAATATATTTATTTTCATAACTTGGAAGAATTATTTTGTAACTTACAATATGATTCAATAATACATTCTTAACAATTATATATTATCCAATTATTAGTTTTTATCAAAAATTAATGGATTAATAGGCAAGGGTGTAATTCTTTGGACATATCCTGATTATTTCCACTGGGAAGTTCCATAATTAGAATTGCCGTACCATTCGAATTACTTTCTTTGAGTTTTTGATGCTTATTGCTAAATTGCTACTCAAAGATTTTATGCTACTTTATACTCACTAGCAGTGAACAAGATTTTCCATTTGATAGTATCAAGTGAACTCTTCTACCTATCAGTTACTGTACTTATTTATTACTGTTGAAAGATAAATTTGCTATACATTGTATGTTGATATTTTGATGTTGTGAATTCAATGGTACAAAATCTTGTTATCTAAATATCTTTGCATCTGGAATTTAAACATTGGAACATAACAAAAATCCAGGACATTCTGCCTCCTTTCCCCAAAAAGGCTTCATAAGCAAAGTTAAGTTCAAAAAATCATATAATTTTACTCATATGTATATACTTTCTCATTGTAATGTTTTAAAAATCAGATTTATTTACTATATGTCTCTAATTTGATTGTCTCAATAATTTAGGAAGAGAAAATTAAAAGCAAAGTGAGTTGTCCTATAGACAACTGTTTCAGGAAAGTTCAAAGTACTATAACAAACTTCCAAAATTCAGGAGCCTAAAGAATAGATAAACTATGTGATGTTCACAAAGTTTTTCACATATAGTAGAAAGATTTTTCATATATATCATTTGGTTATAATTTTATTTCTAAGAAAGGAGGAAGAAATTGGAAAATGAAAATTCTTTATCCTAACAAGCAATCCTGTTAACTGTTTGAGAAGGAAGAGAAATAACTTTTGGAAATAAACATATTGAAATAATTCAGTAGATGAGCAAATAATCCTTTGTCAGATGTGCAGTTTGGTTTTTCCCTACCTACAAATTTAGAAGTTTTTCTGTTACCATTTGATACAGTCTGGCAAAAAACATGGAACTCTCATGTCAATGACAAATGATTACATTCCAGTAAGCAGCATAAACATCATGTTTGTATTGGTTCCCTTTGTCTTCCAAGCCTCTTAGGGATAACACTGTAGGGTAAGATGGCTACTACTTACACAGTGGGTTTGTGTCGTAGTTGGGGAATGTTGAGCTTTGAAAAACCATTATTTTAATAGCAAGCAGTACAAAAGCCTACTCTGTATATTTGAGAAAGACATTATTCCTCAGAATTGCCAGCTACAAACACAATCCTAAAAAATGGTCCCTGAATGGTATGAATATACTTTGTATACAACCAGAGATATGAAAAATTATGCTCTATATGTGTAATATGAGTTCCGATGCATTCTGCTGTCATATATAACAAATTAGAATAATAAAAAAATGATCCCCAGTAAATATCGATAGGGACTTGATTCTTGGCATACACAGCAATAAGTGTAGGAGGGTAAGAGGATAATGGAGAGACTGTTGCTTCCAGCACTAATCATCGGTAACATCTGAAGACATCTGTGTGTATTGCAACATAAAAGAATTAATGTTCTAAAGGATGTGGAGTCATATTCAGGGTGTATAAGTTCTTAAAGTTTTAAGTATTCTATCTTCAGCAGACATCTTCAAAAATGATTATGCATTTATGATCTCTGCCTTTAGATTGGTTGTAGACCTATTAATAAAATAGAAGGGTTGATTACGCAGATTTATAATATTTTTGTTTTATCATGGTCTGAGTTTGTGAGTACCTTGTTTTAAACATGTTGAAGGGACATATCATTTGGGTTAAAATACTCCTGAAGTGAATTGGTTCTACTGATTCATGCTTTTGTGATGATGAATAGTAGCAACACACTGGCTTTAATCAATGTTTGTGAGTAGAAGGCATAATGAAGAGGGAGAAATAATTTCGTTCCTCTTCACCACTAACCCACCTGCTCTGGCATAAACCATGACTCATTCTTTTTGGCCTCTGAAGAAAGTGCTATGGAAGTCTGTTCAGAGCAAGTAATGATCAAGAGCTCTGTGTTCAGCTTTTGGCCCTGCTGCTTGATGATTTGGGGACTTCTGGCAATTCACTTAATCTCACTTAATATATGGGTCATAAAGTTTTTCCAGAATCAAGTGAGACATGAATGTGAAAGTCCTTTCTAAATTATAAAAGCATTATACAAATATTTAATTTCCAAGAATATGAATACTTGAGCTTTTCTCTATTAAAAGAGACAGACTGGAGTATATGTTCTCTTTCAAAGCTAAGATCATAATACAGTTTCTAATCTGAATATTTCTTGATCATACTCTGCTTTTAGAAAGTTTAATAAAAATATGACTTTGTGAAATAGCTACAATTTCAGTCACTCAAAAGCTCCATTTACATGACTGGATAAATTCAAAGTCCTTTATTCACTACTAACTCTAAAATGTTGGATTCAGCAAAACTGTATTTTATTTCATTATTTTTTATTATTGAAAACACCAGTGATAACCATATGCAAATATGAGCATGGATGTCCATGGTAAAAGTATTTGGTTTTAAATGGTGAGGTATACTTGGGTAAAATAAGTTGAATAATTAGAAATTGTGTATTTGTGTGTGTGTGTGTGTGTGTGTGTGTGTTCAAACCTTTCTTCCTTAGTTTCATAAAAATGTTATCATTAATTCCTATGAAAAGGAAAAGAAGATGATGATATAACTTACTTATCCCTTTTTATAGAAAATACTACTACTCCTACCTTTTGGTTGGTTGATTTACTTACAGCAGTTTCCAAATAATCTCCTTATCTTTTTAATATCCACTGTACATTTAATTATCCACTCTACTGGCTGGTTTGCAATCAAGGAAATTGCCAGAGAATCATAAAATATCTAGGCTATAAATGAGTCAAAGAATCAAATAGTAATAGCAGATGAAGAAAGCAATGCACATAGAATTTAAATGTGTTCTCTAAGGATGCACATTTGAATGGTGGTCTAGAATTTTTAGCATGTTTTTCCTTTCCTACTTGAAAGAGAATATTATTTTAGAGTTTTGAAAGTGTTTTAAAGCAATAACATCTCATTATCTTTTTAGGTAGTTATTACTAGCAAGAGTGGAGAGATTTTGTATCGTATTTCACCATGGGCAAAGTATGTGGCTCGTGAAGGTGGTAATGTGAATTATGATTGGATATGCTGGGATCCCGAACATCCATATAAAGTAAGAACAACAAATGCTTGTTCTAATATTTTCTGGGAAAATTAATTTTTACTTTGATATCTTTTATAGTTAAGTTCAAAGTGTTCTCTTCATCCCTGGTTTAGTACTTTATATCATAGTATTCCTCTTAAGCCACACATATATTAAAGTCCATCATCTGTAGTCCACAAAATGTATTCTAAGATTTTGTTTTATACTGTGCTCACACTTAGGGAAAATACTAAATCTATACTTACCAGTTTATAAAGGATATAAAGTTGTGTTTTAATTTGTAATTTCTAATCTATTAAAGGCTTCAAAGATATATGATTTTCACTGACCTTTTTTTGAAGCAGGATCCTAAGGAGGAACAGAAAATGAGGAAGGCTATCTTATAAAAGTTGGGGTAATTTTATGACTGAATTATTGACAAAGGTTGAATGTTTCTTCAAACTTTTGTCTCCCTTAACTTATTGAAGAGTATTAATAAATGATTTGTTTGGTAATTATATATGCATTTCATAATTCTTGTATTTTCTAAGACTTAGAAGAAAAAACAGCTCTTCACTCAGTGATAAGGTGTAAGCCTTTACATAATTTTGTTTTTTGTCTAAATTAGGTCCACTAACAAAATGCCAAACATGATTTTTTCCCAAAAGAAAATATAGTAAATATAACCGGGCTGGGGATGTGGCTCAACTGGTAGCGCGCTCGCCTGGAGTGCGTGCGGCCCGGGTTCGATCCTCAGCACCACGTACCAACAAAGATGTTGTGTTCACCGAGAACTAAAAAATAAATATTAAAAAAATATATATATAACCAATACCTTCTATGTTTGAGAACAGTTGAGAGTTTTTGATTGAGTTTATTTACCAAGTTACTTAAGATGCTTGATCAGTTTGTGGCATACCTGAGTTCTTGCTTTAATTCTATATATATTTTGTATTCTGTAGTTTAAGCATTCCAGACCAAAGAAGCCAAAAAGTGTAAGAATTTATGAATCTCATGTGGGAATTTCTTCCCATGAAGGAAAAATAGCTTCTTATAAACATTTTACTTGCAATGTACTACCAAGAATCAAAGACCTTGGTAAGTAATAACTGTGATTTTTATTCAGATAAAATTTTAATGAGTCTGTTCTCTTATTAGAAAAGCTAATTACATGTGTCTCTTTTTTGTGTTGAGAGATTAAGTATGTAATAGAAATGCATTTTATTTTAGGCTTCTCAAATTGCCCTGTAATAGTGATAGTGTAGGAAAGAGAAATGGAATAAGATAGAGCGTAAGAATTTAAGATATTATTCCAATTTCAATTTTAAATAATGTGAACTGATGACTTCCAAAATTGTAGATAAATACGTAAGCATAATTACTTTTCTGCAGGAGATAACCTTTATCAATTGAAGCGGTCATTGATCATAGCCTGTTCATTTTAGTCTGTTATGGAAGAAATCTTACATTTGTAAAGTACCTGGAACTCAATTTGCACCAGAGCATTGTATAAAGTCCATCTGGATGACTTACTTAATGCACATTTGTGGAACATCTTCTGTGAGACACATTGTGATAGATGTTCATGTATTGGAGTAGAATGACACTAACTCTGCCTTCATGGAAACAAGTAGGAGAATAAGTCACATATTGCTGCATTATTGATTCAGTATGCATTGTTTCCCTTCTTTTTCTTTTTAAAGGTAATGCTTTAAAAAAATCACAGTGTATGTAGCACCTGTTCCATTGTCTAGACAGGAAGTTAAAATACATTCAATTACACTGCTTTTGCTAGGCACTCCAGATTTTTGCTAGAGGAAAGGCATGCAAGTCAGAGTAAAAGTTTTTGGTTAGATATAGATCTTAATTATCTGTTATGGTTAAATAAAATTTTCAGACACACCAATTAATTAAATGCATGGAGAATTTGATGTTAGTTATATTTAATATACACTGTATTAATTTTTTATTGAATATGTCTCTCACATTATAGAGTTACAAATTAGTGTTGACCTAGTTTTTATAGAAGGTTCAACAGCACAAGAATTCTTTTATTCACCTTTGTATCTGAATTGCCTAGCTGAATACTTAGAACATAAATGATTACAAGTGTGATTAATAATACAAAATTATGTTAAAACTATAAATTTGTATTTGATCACAAGAATAATATTTATTTTTTATAAAACAAACTATTTTGTTATATGATATGTAGTAATTGACTTATAAAATCTGAATAAGATTTTATATTTCTATTTTTCTAAGGCCTAGAAGACTCAATTTTTTTAAATGATAAACCAATAGCAGTGACTTTTCAGTAGATTGTAAAATCATGGAGAAGCAAGTACTCTTCTTTAGATGTATAAATCCTGAATTCTGATTGTTAACTTTTGATTGTTCCATTATTAATGATATAATGAAATAAATGCATGAGAAACTACATGATTTCAACCACTAGAAATGAAACTAATTTTCACTTCTGTTTGTTTACAAATATACTTATGTATTTAAATGAAATAGTAATGAATACTTAAATTTATATAACCTTTAAGAAAATTATAAAGCTTCTATGAGTTGGACATTGAGTTTACAATAAGAAAAGTTTCTATGTATGTCACAGAATTGACATACATAGAAATGGATATTTGAAATACAATATCTTCCTTTTTGAGTCACTTCATTTTACTGTTAGTGTAAAACGTTTGGATAGAGAAGGAGGTGTTGTACGTCTGTGATGGTGTGTATGCATGCATTCACACTTGCATGGAGTACTTTTATATGTGTGGAAAATAGTATTAAAGCTAGCTGTATGAAAGCTTTGTAAAAAAAAATGATTGTGATATTTTTATGCTAAATAGTAAAAATGGCTGAAATATAAAGAAAAGGCAAAATAAGAAGCATATGTCATGAAATCAGTTACTTTTGTTTAATTTTCATAATCTTCAATATGGATATTACAAGTACAGTTGAAGTTTAGCATATGCAGATTGCCGTATTTAATATTCTAAAGCCAAATTTAGAGTAGATTTGCATACCATTTATTGCTTATTAAAATGAAGACATTTCAAATAGCTAGCCAGTGTATAGCTCTTAAGAAACTAAAAGTTCAGTTTTTTGTTAGGAGGCCAGACAAGCAAATGATGTTTAGTAGCAGAACTTTCTAGATGATCAAAGGTTCTAGATTACTTGTAAAATTTAGGACCTTTCATGTTTTTAAATGTGTATCTGAATCCCTATTTGACCTTTGCTTACACAGGATACAACTGTATTCAATTGATGGCAATCATGGAGCATGCTTACTATGCCAGTTTTGGGTACCAAATCACAAGCTTTTTTGCAGCTTCAAGGTAAAAATGGAAGTCTTTGTATTTTTATATGGATCAAAAATAAAAATGAATTTAATAATTTACATGTTTTAGAAACTATTTCAGCATTAACATAGTTAATAGAAGTTGAATATCTATCCTTAGAGGTTGTCCCTGATATCACTTTTTATGGCATGACTTCTGAAACTGGTACATGTTTGGTAGCCCATGCTTTAGTCAGAAAATTTTCTCCTGTTGAAAGAGCTTCCATCCTTTCTGGAAAGATATTACTCATATAGGAAGGTTACTGAGGAGGCCCTTGGTAGGACATAGTCACAGAAACTCTGCCTTTTTCTGACTGAAATCTAAGAAATGGGGCTCTTTGGGTAGAAAGATATTCAGAAATTACATGTATTGCAGCATCCTGACATGGATGACTACAAATTTAACTAGTCTAACATTGTCTCTGTTTCACTTAGTTTACAGTGTAGTGATATATAGACATTAATAATCATAAATATTGTGATTTCCACTGTTAGAGCTTAGAAGAAAATGGTGTTATAAAAGCATAGAATTAGGGTCTGAACAGCTTAGATTAGATCTGAACTGAGGTTGATACTGAGATCTAAAACATGGTTAAGATGAGTTGGGGGAAAAGTGAAATCTGCTTAAGTAGATAACATAGGACAGGAAAAAAAAAGATACTTATTCATTCTCTTTAAAGAAGTTCTGCTTTTGGGCTGGGGATGTGGCTCAAGCGGTAGCGCCATCGCCTGGCATGTGTGCGGCCTGGGTTTGATCCTCAGCACCACATACAAAGATGTTGTGTCCACCAATAACTAAAGAAAAAATAAATATTAAAATTCTCTCTCTCTCCTCTCTCTCTAAAAGAAGTTCTGCTTGAATAGGTTTTCTGTATTTACAGTCTCTAAACCCTCCATTCCTATCCTAGATCCTTTTTTGCGGGGGGGGGGGTACTGAAAGTCGAACCCAAGGATGTATTATCATTGATCTACAACCTTTGCCCTTTAGAAAATTTAAAAATTTTCAGACAAGGTTTTATGAAGTTACTGAGTTGGCCTTGAATCTATTTTTTTTAAGTCTTAGCTGGGATTACAGGTGTGCACCACCACACCTGATCCATTTTTTTCTTGAACTCTTTCTACCTTGTTACAAAAGTTTTTGTTAAGAGTACTGATGACCTTTACATTGTTAAGTATGTAGTCAGTTTACTTGAACTTTTGGCAACATTTTGCACAATTGCATACTTCCACTTTCTTATAGGTATTTTCTTTTCTTGACCTTCAGAACATCTTGCTATTGTATTTCCCATGCCACTTGTTGCTTTTTTAAGTTCTTTGCTTTCTCCTCTTTATCACTTGTACCATCAAATTTTGGTACTACTTCTCCGATCTTGCTTCCATTCTGTTCTGTATCTTTCCCTTCTTATGGCTTTAATATGCTTTCTGTGCAACTCTTAAGATTTAGGTCTCAATTTTTGACCTCTCTTGTGAATGTCAGCCAGTGTCTATTTAATTCTGCAATTCCTAATACATGTCCCAAGCTTAATGTATGCAAAATTAAAATTGCCATCTTATCTTTCAACTCCCTTTTCCTGCCATTTTCTCTAATTTGGTAAATGACGTTTTTCATCTTCTAGTTGTTCAAGCCAAAATCTTGGCATTATACTTGACTGTTCCATTCCTGTCCCTCCCTACGCTCTATCCTAAAACCTAACCATCTGTTGCTTCAAAATCTCTCCCAAATCTGGCTGCTCATCTGCCACCATTGCTACTACCCTGATACAAATTGCTATTCTCTTTTGCCTGGATTATTTCAATAGCTCTTTAACTGGCCAATTTATTTATCCTTGTTTTCCTTCTCCTTCACTAATTTTTCCCCAATTCCATGACCAGAGCAGTCATTAAAAATGAACATCAGATTCTATCACTGTCCTGCCCAGGACTCTATGATAGCTCCCCATCTCTTTCAGAATGATACCCAAAGGTCTTACTGTAGCTCATGCTACTCATCTTGGTTTTTGATGATTCTTTTATTATTATTGTTGTTGTTGTTCATTAGTGCATTGTATTGTACATAATAGTGGGGCTCATTTTGACATATTTGTAAATTTATATAACATAGAATTCTTCATTTTAGTTCCCAGTACTACTCCCTTTTCTCCCCCCACCCCTTTGATTTCCTTCCTTACTCAATTGGTCTTCTGTTTGTATTTTCATTGTTACATTATGGTTTTATATAAAATTGGAATGCGTTGTGGTGAATTCCTATATGCACCTAGCATAATTTTATTAACTCTGCTCTTTCTCTCTCAACAATTCCACTGAGGCTACACTAGCCTATTTGTTCTTCAGACGCTCTTAGTTTATTCCTGCCCCTGTGCCCTTCTACCTACTACTCCTTCTTCTCTGTAAATTGTTCTCCTTTTTCCTTTCTTTCTTAAATATTGCTTTTCCTCTAAAACTTCTTCTGCAAACTCTACTTAAAATGGAAAACCTGTCCCTTTTACCAGTGGCTTTTCTTTATTTTTCTTTAAAACACTTATTGCTATGTGACATTCTATGTGTTTTGCTTATTTATTTGTATTCTAGTTAGAATATAAATTTCATAAGGACAATGATATTTATTTTGCCCACTGCTATATCTCTAGAGCATAGAACATTTCATGACACATGGCAGATAACTTTGGTAAGCGTTTTGCCAACAAATAAATGCATGAATAACTGAAAGTTTAAGGATGTTCATTTATTGAACACATTTTTCAGTACTGGGAAAAAGGCTATGTAGCTGGGATAATGAAAGGGAGAGGCAGGATATCACAAGATAATCTAACATGCTAGAAGGGACTAAAATAGGCTGTGCAGTAGGCCATAATAACAGGGGGATGGGAATGGGAAAGACAGTAGAATGAATCAGACATGACTTTCCTTTGTTCAGTGTAGCTCCACCTCATATAGAAACACCAATGGAAAGTTATATTCCATGTATTGTAATATGTCCAAATACATTCTTCTGTCATGTATAACTAAAAAGAACACAATTTAAAAAAGGGAGAGGGGAGAACAGTAGTCTTCATCCTGAGAACAGTGGGAGCACAGTAGGTTTTTAATAGATAAAAAAAAATGATCATATTTATTTTTTGAAAAGATGATACTTGCTACTCAATGAAGTTGACTAGAGGAAACTTGGTATTTACTAAAACCTCTACTGAACCATGAAAGACCAGATGGCCATAGCCCCTACTTCAAGGCCATAAACAATAACAAAGGCAAATATTTATTTAAGAGGTAAAGTTGGTGTTATAAAAGACTGTAGTGTCAAACCATAGCATAAGTTAAGAAAGGCTTTCTTCTGGAAGTGATTTTTCTGTTACATGTAGACTAGGTCATTGTTTTAAACATAGACACACATGCATGTGATCTATCCATCTTTTCTGCTTGAGTGGTGACTAACATTACACTTTCCCTTGGTACACTGGTACCTGAAGAAGGCATTCCAGTTGGGAACAAGTTCTGGAGGGCTGGCTTTAATTAAGACACTATAGACATAAAAAGAAATACTCAGATAGTCCCGTATTCCCTATTCAACTGTACATATTCAAAGGAATGGGCAGATATGTGAGTGTGAATAATCATGACTGGCTGTGCTGGAAAATGAAAATCAGAATATTTGAAGATAATCTTAACTATTTTGCATGCTCAAAATGTTCATTTTGGTTAGTGTATAATTCTGTTAATATCATGATTTAATTTAATATTATTTCCCTTAACATTTTCTTAATAACAAATACTAAGCAATTTTGATTTGTATGTGTCATGTACTATGGTATTTGCATATTTAAAGTATCTAGTACTATGCTGAGTAAAAAACTGGTACACAATTAACTATTTGTGGCTGTAGCTGTAGCACTTATCCAGCACTGGAGGCTCTAGGTTTAATCCCCAGTACTACAAAACAAGAAGAACAGTAATAAATCAATTGGCTATTGTTTTAAATATAATATCATATTGTTTTTCTGTGTCCTTTAGTCGTTATGGAACACCTGAAGAACTAAAAGAACTAGTCGATACAGCTCATTCAATGGGGATCACAGTCCTCTTAGATGTGGTACACAGCCATGCTTCAAAAAATTCAGAAGATGGATTGAATATGTTTGATGGAACTGATTCCTGTTATTTTCATTCTGGACCTAGAGGGACTCATGATCTTTGGGACAGTAAATTGTTTGCCTATTCCAAGTAAGTACATATAATATGGAAACGTATTCTTTGTTTAAAATGGATTTCAAGAGATTCACTAAATTCATTTTGTGTGTACTTTCTCATTATTATTTAATGTTCTTATTTTCATTTTATAAAAATTATATGAGGAAATTTAGCTGAGGTGGTGGCCACACCTGTAATCCCAATGACTTGGTAGGCTGAGGTAGGCGATTGTTAGTTCAAAGCCAGCCTTAGCAACTTAGTGAGACCCTACCTCAAACAAAAAATAAAAAGGTTTCCTGAAAGGCTCAGTGATAAAAACACCTCTAGGTTCAATTCCCAATACCCCACCAAAAAAGAGGAATTTTGCCTTTGTATAGCATATGTACTCATGATAAGTTATCTTAAATTTCAATATAAATCATATATTTTATCTCATTTAAAATATACACTTTATAATGTTAATTGTTTTTGAATACCAAAAGATAATTACTTTAGGTTGACTTAATCATGTTACTGCAGTTTTCAGTAGGCCATTTCAGTAGGCCATGCTTTATATTTCAATATCTTAATTATATTATCATGATTTTTATTGCAGATAAAAGATTAATTTATATCTATAATGACATTTAACATTTATCAGTTCATACTCTTTGCCAGTATAGACTAAGGTTTAGTGTTGAAACAGTGTATTAAGTTTAAACACAATTCTAATTTTTTTGACCAACTTAATGGAAGGGTATTTTAGGTGATCAAATTTAAATAGCATAATACAAAAATTTAAAAGAAAACCCCAAATACTTTTAAATAATATTCATTATTCATCATAAGTGAAAATGTCACTTATAATTGAACAAGCAAAGTTCTGATTAATGTATAAGTTGAAAATCTGTTTATCTGAAAGTCTAAAATCCGAAATCCTCCATAGTCAGAAATTGTTTGAGTACTGATAAAATACTACAAGTGAAAAATTTCACACCCAACTCTTGCATTCATACTAAAAGTATTGTATAAGATTAGATTCAGACTATGTGTATAAAATAGGTAAATGTGCAACATAAACTAATTTTGTATTTCAGTTTGAGTCTCATTCCCAAGATATCTCATTTTCTATATTGAAATTTTCTAAAGTCCCCAAAACAGGAAATGTGGAATACTTCTGTCCTAAGCATTTTGGATAAGGGATACTCAACTTTTAAAACTAATTTTTAAAATAAATGTTCTTAAAAAGTTTAATGTATTATCTTTTGGATATTGTATTATACATAAACCATACACATACCCAGAAAATGGGCAGTATAGAAAAATTCTTCAGAAATGCTTTTGTAAAATGAAGAGTTCCAATTTTTCAACATAAATTTGAAGACTTTTATATGTTTTTGCTGCACTCTTTTCTTAATATTACACATTATTTTATATTTCATTACCATATAGAAATCACTCATGTCAATTGAGGCAGCATAATATAAGAAAAGAACACAAGAGGGTGTCAGGTTTCCAGGCCTTGTTTTAGTCTGGTACAAATCAATTAATCATTCTTATTCTCATGTATTTCATTAGAAGAGGAGTTAAAGTTTTGAAGCTAATATAATTCTGTGAAGGTATTTTTTTTTTATTTTACCTTTTTGAACATTGTATTTTATGCTATAGATCCACAAGAAGTAAAAAGGACTGAACCTTGCTAATTTTGTGATTATTAAGTAAATCTTATAAAAGTAGAATGTGTGTAAGAAATGCAGTTAATTGAACTCTCTGGTTCACTTTTGGATGAATTATGATTGACTTTATCCTTTAAAACTGAACATTTCAAGGGCTGGGGATGTGGCTCAAGTGGTAGTGCGCTCGCCTGGCATGCATGTGGCCTGGGTTCGATCCTCAGCACCACATACAAACAAAGATGTTGTGTCTGCGGAAAACTAAAAAATAAATACTAAAAATTCTCTCTCTCTCTTTCTCTCTCTCTCTCAAAAAAAACTGAACCTTTCAAAATGCATATAGTAAATGGTATATTTTAATGTTTCAAAATAATTCTTCTAATTAATTACTCATTAAATAAGAAATACACAAAATGGGTAGATTATTATATTTTAAAACAATTTTGTAGTTTATAAAGATATTTCTTATAATGTAGTTTTCTGTACAATGAGACCTCAAAAGAGTACATTTAAAGTTATCTGATTTAAAGGGCTTATAGATAATTATTTTCAAGAACATTTCTTTATAGAAATTGGACAAATTTAACAGTTATTTAATACTTAGTTTCCTTTTTATTGAATTGACTACTTTCTCAGATGTACACTTTTGGTAAATAAAATGTATTCTAGTTTTAATGTATGATGTTGCTATTTTTTTCTTCTGGTATTGGGGATGAAACTCATCCTAGGCAGTTGCTGTACCACAGAGTTACATCCCAAATCCTGATTATCTTTTCATGTTGTTTGTGTGTCTACCCATCTAGCAGCATGGATCTGATGCAGTTTAGTTTCTAAGCTGTAAACTTATAGTGTCCCTGAAACTCAACAGTACCTTGCCATTAATGGGGAGACAAATAATAATAGCAATGCAAATATTATACAGCCTTAAATGAAACAGGTCCTGCTATGAAGCCTATAGTTTAGTCACAACAAATAGACATGATATATTCAGTTATTGCCTACAATAAAAAGAGTAAGCTTACAGAAGTGTTTACAATTTTGAATGGTGGACAAAGAACAAATGTGGTGTAGGATGTGATGATTATGAGGAAGGAGGAGAGAAGATAGAAGGAAAAAAAATTAAAGGATGAGTAAAAAAGGCAACAATAATTTGGATGTTAGCAGGAAAAAAAAGAAAGATTGATACAGATAAGTGAGAGAAAAAAAATATAAAATGGAAATTTAAAAAAATTAAAAGAAAAATGTCAAAAGAATACAAAACAAAACTGAAATATACTAATTAGACATCCTAGTCCTCTATAAACTGATCCATGGAAAATATTCTGAATGAAAAGTTGAAGAATTGGTTTTCCCTTGGAGATAAAAAGTTGTTTGGCTTCCCTTCTCCAGTGTTAGGTCTGGAGCGTGATGCTTTCTTCACTCTCAGGGTGAGGTTGCTAGGGTTTGAGGTTTAATCCTGGAGATGGAACTCTGGGGGCAGTGTTTAGGCTTATGTGTGCTCTAGGCTCTTTGCCAAATGCCAGTTGGTCTGAAGATTTTAAATCTGTCACCTCCAGGTTCCAGCAATTCTAGTCCATGCTGTAAGACTGCACCCCAGGAATCTCCTTTGGGTTACACTAGTGGTGGGGGAGCCAATTCTTAGTCTACTATGTCACCTGTAGACCCCATAATTCCTGGTCATAGATTTTATCTCCAGACTCAATATCTCCAGCCCCCTCTTTTTCAAATTCATAGTCAGGGCTTCTCTTCCTACAAGCAGCCAGATTAGAGGGGTCAGGGAAGCCAGGTGGTTTTCCATGACCAGTATTCCCCTGTGGAAACCTCTTTCCCTTCTTGAGTTTCTCATGGTCACTTAGACACAGTGTCTGTCATGCAGTGTGGGTTTGTCAGGCTTGTTTTGGGGGCCAGACTCTGATTTGTAAGAAATCAGCTCTTCTGGCTTTCCTCCCATTGTGTCATGGATGCAGAATGATTCCTTCCTCTGTCCTCCTCATACTGCCAGGAGTGATGAGGATTTGCATCTCATAGTTTAGTCCAGCAGTGTCTTTGATCTCTAAACTCTTCAGACCTAGACACACCTCTGTCCTCCCCCAAATGGGGGTTCCTTTAATTCCCTTATTGCTTTATTGTGTTAATGGAGGGACTGTTCTGGCTGTGCCTCTGGCAGTGGTCGCAGCTTCTCACTGGAAATTTCTTCCTTAGTTTATTATATTTGATCTCCTGAGTCCTTGATCTGCTTTGAGTATCCAATATTAATTTCCAGTAAAGTCCCCCCTAATCTTTCGTTCATTCAACCACCTTGTTAGGAAGCTGCCTTTCTGCTTTTCTTGGTTTTATAGCATGAAGCAGCCAAAGAAGTGACCTTTATATTCCACCATCTTTAGCCTTCCTCTGTTATTTATTATTTTTAGCTATACATGAGAGTAGAATGTATTTTGATATACATATATCGAGTATACCTTTTCATTCTTGTGGTTACACATTATATGGAGTTAAACCCTGGTTTTTACTTTCTTTCTTATTATCATTCCCAAAGTACTTCTATCCCTGCCACACCCACCCCATTGTGTGTGAGTGTCCACATAGGAGAGAGTATATTTGGCCTTTGGTTTTTTTTGGGATTGGCTTATTTTACTTAGCATGATAGGCTCAAGTTCCATCTATATAGGCAAATGCTATTATTTCATTCTTTTTTTGTGGCTGAGTAAAATTCCATTGTGTATATATACCACATTTTCTTTATCCATTTATCTTTTAAAGGGTACCTATGATGGTTCCAGATCTTAGCTATTGTGAATTGAGCTGCTGTAAACATTGATTTGGCTGCATCACTATAGTATGCTGATTTTAAGTTCTTTGGGTGTAAACCGAGGAGTGGGATAACTGGGTCAAATGATGGGTCCATTCCAGGTGTTCTGAGGAATCTCCATACTGCTTTCCAGAATGGTTGTACAAATTTGCAGTCCCACTAGCAATGTATAAGTGTACCCTTTTTATCACATCCTTGCCAATATTTATTGTTATTTGTATTTTCAATAATTGCCATTCTGATTAGAGTGAGATGAGTCTCAGTGTAGTTTAAATATCCATTTATCTAACTACTAGATATGTTGAACATTTTTTTCATATATTTGTTGACTAATTATATTCTTCTGTGCAGTGTCTATTCAATTCCTTTGCAAATTTATTAATTGGGCTATTTTTTCCATTGGTGGTGTTTTGGGATTCTTTTTATATCCTATATATTAATGCTGTGTCTGAGGTATAGATAGCAAATATTTTCTCCCATTCTGTAAATTCTGTGTTCATGTTCATGATTGTTTCCTTTTTCGTGGGGAAGCTTTTAGTTTGATACCATCCCATTTAGTTGATTCATAATTT